AAAAGAAATGTATTATCTGTAAAGCACAATAAAATGAGGTATGCCATGTAGATGATAAAAGCTGAGGACTAAAGAAGTTAGAAAAGTGTCCAAGTGGCCCAGGAAGAGATGGAATTTGAACCCAGCGATATCTAGTTCTCAAGCCCAAACTCTTAACCATGTTGTATTCTTTACAGCACATACCTATTGCTTTGTCAAGCTCTTTGCTAGATGATTCGAGGTTGTTATATAATGTGTCTCATATAACAACTGTGTTTAGCAAGCAGTATATTTAATCCTATTTTACAGATGAAAAAACTTAATTTCTTACCCATTCAGCTAGTGAATGTGGAGGGAAGATATGAAATTGATTCTTTTCAATAGCTATATTTTTAACATGAATAATATGTTATTTCCCTGGCTCACATAGAAGTGAACTTTGGGTTAAGACCTACGACCATGATGGATGAAACGGTGGAAAACACAAGATGTTTGACTTAACGTACCGTGCCCAGTGGTTCCCAACCAGCTGTGAGTATTTAAAACAAGAAAGCTAGTGGGAGAGCCAGCTCTTCCCATGGCACTGCCCCATGGCACCTACCCTGATACTAACTCTAAGCAGAAGGAATGATCTTCAGGCACCTCTATAATGGGTGTAGAAGGATCTATGTTAACCTCCGACCCTTCTCCAGGGAAGGAATCACCAGACACCAAATGTGGCAGGCAGACCGCAAGAGCATTGTGACAATACCCCCCGCTCAGACTCCTTTCTCATCTGTGGTGCCAACTGGAGTGATGGGCTCTCCTGTGTGGCCTCATGACTGTTCACCAGTTTGCCTCTAGGCCCCTAGCAATTGATGAGGAGAGGAAAACAGGATCCACTATAAGATCCAGAGTATTGACAACTATTTCAGATAGTAAGACCAAAGAGCATATTCACATCTCTGGGTGGTCCTCAGAGAGAGGCCACTGTGGATATGATAAGCTATACCTCAACAACATTCCTACAACAGATTAGGGGATCAATGTTCAACGTCTTATTTTATATGTCTCTCAGTATAGACTGAAAGCATCAACAAAAACAAAGTTTTAAACGTAATTCTTCAAGACGTCATGGGAGGTTATCAAACATACAATTCTGTTGCTCTGATTAAATTGTGACATATTTAAGAATATGTGGAGAGATATCTAAAATGGGGGATAATGTGAATTTGGAGTCTTCCAGCACACTGGCATCAGGAAAGGGGTGACTGAATCTGCAGATGAACATCTCATGAAGAGGTTGGGCCATTAGACCACCAGCTCATACTGGCTCTTGAGTTCAAGTCATCCTGACTGGGGATGAGTTTTCAACCTATATCACAGAAAACACAATTTCCAAGATGAATATACTAGGCTAATATCCCCACAACCTCCTGTCAAATCAGGAGTAGAAAGGAAAGCAATCTTAATCCATAGAAATAGTCACAAAACATCAAAATGAAAAATGAGACAGAGGAATTCATCCCATTTGATATGTCATTAAGCAGAATCAATCATTAAGTAGAATTAACCAAAAATCATTAAGCAGAATTTACCAAACTACCTGAAAAAGGCTTCAGAACAACAGTTGAATGATGCTTACTGAAATTAGAGAAAAATGGATGAGAAGAAAAGAAATAGAATAAGGACAGAGAAAATGTGAAAAAGGTCCAATCAGAAGTCATACAAACTGTGATAATGTAGCAATAGCAGAATGTAGAGGAAAATTTCTAGTACTGGATGCATTTATTAGAAAACAACAAAAGATTTTGAAAATAAATAACTAATGTTCAATTCTAGAAACCAGAAAAAAAAAACACCAGGGCAAACCCAAGGTAAATAGAAGAAGCAGAATACAAAGATAAAAACAGAAGTAAAGCAACACATTATTTAAATATATATATAATTGGGCCTTCCCTGGTGGCACAGTGGGTTAAAAGCGCAGCACTTAGAAGCTAACACCACTTCCGCATGAGTTCGATCCCCGCCTGCCCCGGAGGTGACCACATGGCCTGGCAGACCTCTCCTGACCCGCCCCGCTGCTCCCCTCAGCAGTGTACTTGATCAGTTGCCTGTTCTGCTTCCCACCTGTCTCCGGTGAATCCTCTCCCCGCCCCTGCACCTCTGGCTTGTGTCCCAGTTCTGTACGCATAAATAAATAAATCTTAAATATATATATATATATAAAATTGAAAAGTTGGTTATTTGCAAAGTCTAGCATGACTGATCAAAGGCTTCTCTGGATGCCATTCTCTGCCCTAAGCCCACTAACATTTATTTACAAGTCTCTTTAGTGTGGCATTCTCCATTTGTTTCTCCAGTTAGATTTGGAGGTGCTTTTAAAGCAAGGGAATTTTCTTTTCTCTCCTATTCCCCAGCACTAAACAAATGGTCTGTCACCATGACTTGTCTGTACTCAACCACTGTGTGTTAAATGAAACAAAATTAGAAAAATTATACAGTAGCCCTCCTTACCTAATCCAAGTCCCCCAGAGGAGGCCTGAAACCACTGGCCCTCTAATTTTTCCTATGCATACATAACTATGATAAAGAATAATTTATAAATTAGCCACAATATAAGGTTAACAACTAGTAATAAAATAGGACAATTATAACAATATACTCTAATAAAAGTTAGGTGAAAGTGGTCTCTCTTATTATGGTCGCCATCTTAATTCTAGGAGATAATTTGGACAGCAGTTGACAAGGATAATTAAAATTTGCAGAAGCCAAAAATCAGATAAGGGGGTGGGAAAACCACTGTAATAACACAGGAAGGGTAAGGGTAAAACGTGACTGTTTTATATGGTATTTAGTTTCCCTTATGTCATTTGATGTCTGTGGGCAGCAAAGAAGCAGGGTTTATTCTACGGATTTTATAGATCATTTTGAAGATTTTATAGGCCACAACATTGAGAGTTGTAGGAAGCATCACGTCCAAGAATCAGAATCATCAGAGACAGAATGCAAGTATTTGAGCACCAAGACTAAGTGTCTTCCCCCACCTCCTAGTTTCCACCCCGTTGGGTATCAAAACGTTTGTTGAAAATAAATGGTTGAAAAAAAAATTTTAATAAGCACAGTGGTAGCTATTTTCCTTTCTGACCTTAAAAAGCTCAGTTTTGAAACAGGAACGTGTGTGCTACATACAGAAAGAATTCTACCCTAAAGGAGTTGTTTGTTACTTTTCAACATTATACTTAAAGAATATTCACTCGGAGGGAGAAAAGTGAGTCATTCACAGCGGCTGGCAATTGCGGACCCTGGGGAACACTGTGGAGCAGGGTGGCCCGGCCAAGGGGTTGGGTGGGCCCTAGGTGACTATCCCCCACGAATGCTCCAGCCCAGAGAGAATGCCCACGAGTGGAAGCTTCAGAATCCTGGGGGTGGGTGCGGCGCCCTCCGACGCCAAGGCCCCCGCCCTTCACCCCCAGTCCCGCATCCCTCGGGCAACAGCCTCCAGGTGCCTTTGACCCCCTCCTTCCCCTCTCCCCCAGCTCTTTTTCTGAGCTGGAGTCCGAGTCTGGCCTGAGTTTCACTCTCCCGGCCCACTCATCTCCCAAAAATGCAGCCCTGCTTAGGGGAAGCCGCGCCTTGGGGGTGGGGCGGGAGGGGTTGGAGCGGCAGAGGAGACGACTCGGCCTTGGGGCCGCCCAAAGGCGGGTCTTCCACCCAGCACCCGCATCCCCGCCCAGGCAATGCGGAGCCGCTGCTAGGACCTCGCCGGTGGCCTGCGGCGCCCAGTCCTTTTAGCTACGCGGGCAGTTACTTTGCAAATAGGACCTGCGTTGTCCTGTGTAACCGCTCAAAATAGGCAACGACCTGAAAGACCTTCAGGAAGGAGTTAGGTAAATCAAAAATGGACGGCATGGGGACCCGCACTGTGCAGTCCTTAGGAAGAACCTAGTAGGCCCAGGTGTCCTTGCACGGAGAGCTCCTCCGATGTGTAGTAGAGGAACTTGCAGATAAATACTGCAATACGGGTTTGCAAACAATGCCTCTTATGCGAACGTATACACACTGACACACTAGCGCGCTGCAGGGAGAGCTGGAAGGGTATACCCAAAAGACCTCAGCCTGGGTCGAGGAAGTGAAGGGGTTTCCAAAACCACATTATAACTACTGTATTATGTGCATGGCTTCTAAAAAAGCTTTTAAAAAGTTTGACTTGCAGAAAAGTCGCAGGGTTCACACAATGCTGATTTCTCCTGTTACTATCATTTTATACTAGCATGGCGCTTTTGCTATAATGTATAGACCAAGAGTGATGAATTATGAACTAAAAGACCCGGCATTGTTCAGATTCCTTTCGTTTTACCCAAGTCCTCTCCCCAGGATCCCATGGAGGATACCAGGTTACATTTAGTTTGCACATTTCCTCAGGCTTCTCTTGGCTGTGGTAGTGTGTGTCTCAAAATTCCCTTGTTTTCATGGCTTGATAGTTCTGAGGATTACTAGTGAGGTATTTTGTAGCATGTTCCTCAAGTGGGATTTTACCTCATTTTTTTTTCTCCCAATTAGACAGAGTTTCGTGTTTTTGGAAAAGAACACTAAAACGGGTGTATATACTGTACTGTTAATTCTGTACGGTTAATTCATCACTCTTGATGTGGGGTCACCCGGCTTCTTCGCACTAATTCTACTCTCCCCGCCACGGCATCTATTTCCTTAAAGTCGTGTGACCTTTAGAACTCAAAGTTTTCTTTACCTTAAAGACTGTTCAGAATAACCACACACTGCGCTGGAGGCTTCGAGAGCGCCCTCCCCGCAGGTGTGGCGCAGGGCAGGACAGGAAGAGGTAGTGGGGTTCAAGAGCGTTTCCAGGTACCCGTGGGACCCGGAAGGCGCTGAGCTTCCCCTTAGCGGGTTTCGGGGAGGCTTCTCCCCGCCTCTGCCCAACCCGGCCGTCACCTGGGGGCGGTGCCCCACGCAGTCCCCGCCCTCCTTCCCGCCCCCGCCCTCCCCCTGAGCAAACAGCCCCGCCCCGGCACGTTGGGCGACGCCGCGGAGTGTGGGTTCTCCGTTCGGCTCGCTCCTCCTCCTGCCCCGCCCAAAGGTTGCCTAGCTCCAAGTGGGACCCTTTACCCCTCGCAGTCCGGGGGTAGGATCCAGATCACCAGCCGCGCGCGGGCGGACCCGAGGCGGCGTCCCCGGGACGGTAGCGAGGAGCGACGCTGCTGCCCGCGTTCTTGTTCGCAGCTTGAGGCCGTCAGCCCCCGTGGCTGGGTGAGTGAGGGTCTCGGGGCTGCCCGGGGCGCGGTGGCGGCGGCGCCCCCAGGACTTTCTACTGGTGGAGCCTGGGACTGCCCCGTGCCGGGTCCCGGCCCGCCTGCGCCTTCTGGGTGGCACAGCATGGAGGGGGGTTGTCGGGCTGGCTCCGGACGGGCTGCGTGGGCCTAGCTGCCCTCGGGATGGGGTGGACGGTACACAGACGGGACCCCCAAGGGTCAGAGCCACGTGGCGGTGTTGCCGGGCGGGATCTGGGGCTCTGCCGGTTCCGGGGCCGCTAAGGACTAGTAGAACCTGAGCCGAGGAGGTGACTGACTGGTGTGGGGCCCTTGCCGCTTCCACCCAGCCCAGATCGCGGGGCCACCCAGTCCCTTCCAGGAAAGGCTTGTGCCCAGGAGAGCACGTAGAGGAGGCTGCGTTAAAGAACTTGCTTCTGAAAGTCGCAAATTCCTGGAGACTGCTACTGTTGGAGTTTGTTAGGCACTTTATTTGGGAGAATTGGGAACTCGCTCTACGAGCTGTGTTCACTTGGTGTTCACCTTTTCCCCACTCCCCAGCCCTCACTCCAGCTCCAGCAGGGGTTCTTGGGTTTTTACCTTTCCCCTGGTACCACCCTAGCTACCTCAGGGCCGAAAAGATAGAAATCTGTCAGTTAGCTGAAAGGAAAATTATGAAACTCCTCATGCATAGACCTTGAAGGGGGAATTTAAGCTAGCCACTGCCCGCCTAAGCAAGGGTCAGTCTGTTCAGAACGTTTCTGCCCCTCTCCTCTCATCAGGGACTTTTCTACGGATATTGGGACAGAACAGAGGTATCCATGGCAGCAAACTCTTCCTCTGGGCCTTGGCTTTACTTCCTGCTGCCATGGCTTTGACAGGGTGTAGCCCTTGAGGAGTGAGCCACTATTCTGCCCACATCACGGGACAAAAAGCTTTCAGGGCAGGGCCTGGCTGAGTCCCTGCACAGACAGGGTGTGTGTTATCTTGCTCACCCCTAAGTGGCTCTCATTATGCTCCTTCATTCCTTGCTTCAGTCAATCCGTGGGGATTCCAGAAGGATTAACACGGCCTCTTCCCTCAAGGCACTATCTGTGCTATGAGGATTCCCCGACAAGAGAAGCCAGATGAGGTGCCAAGGCACTTTGTTGCCCAAGGTGTTCACTATCTTAGGCTCCTGCATCGCTACTTAATCTTGTCTCCCGCTAGTCTCTGTGCCTTGTTTTCCTTGTCTTTTTTTCCTTTAAATCCCCCACTACCGCACAGGGTTGTTGTAGGAAATGTTAATGTAGTTAGCAGCCATCCATTTGGCTCAAGCACTAATCTGAACAGGCGGCACGCCATACCTATGTGTCTTAGGTGGATGTCACCCAAACTGTGCATAAAGCTTACAGCAGGCTTGGCTCATAAGTAATCATCTGTTAGAGTCAGTGATAATAATACAATAATAGCTGTTACTCCCTTTGCGTAACTGAAGAGCCAGCAGAGTTGAACTGCTCCGCTGACCTGTCTTTCTGTCATAGCTCATGCTGTTCCATCCTCTGGAATGCCCTCCTGGAACCCCATTTTTTCCCACTATTCATAACCCTCCCTGGGTGCCCCATGTAGCCTGACCCCAACAGAGAGCTCTGGTCAGCACTGCTCTAAGCTCATGCAGCCTCTTCTGCTCATTGGTAGGCACTGACCCACTGTCCCTGGCCTTCTTTGGCATCCCTGTCCTTTGTCCCTGAGGGTGCGTGTGTGTGTGTGGGGGGGCTTTTTCATCTCTCAGTCTCTCACAAACAGGATGGGTCCTGCCTCCTGTAGTTCTCAGCAGATGTTAGTTGAATGAAAGGACAGCCTAGGGAAGTAAGGTTTCCCTGCTCTTAAAATATTGGACCTTGAGGACTGGGTTTGGGTACACAGAAAATGAAAAAAAAGTGGGGAACATGAGCTGGAAGTGAGTCCAGACTGAGAGGGAAGAGCGCAGCTGGCTGAGAAGCCATGTTGTGCCATTTCTGTGTTTAGTCAAGGCAGGAGGGACAGGAAGGGCCCATCCTGTATTGCTGGATTGTATCTTCAAGGCCAAGGTTGATTAGGGTGCCTTGGTCATGTGATTTAGGGGAGGCTGGGTTGTTTGGGCTGACAGGGTTAAGAAATGATCTGGAATAGGTTAATGTGGGTTCTTCTTGGGAATCCACTGAAAAATGGACAAAACAAAGCTGGGAAAAGGTGACTACAGAATCAATCTGTGTTTAGTGCTAGGTGTTCAGCAGGTCCAGGGCCTTTCTGGAGCTCCCCCTCTTTCCTCTTGGACTCACCTCCTTCCTCTCTCTTCTCAGCTGCCATCTTCTCTGCCTGAAATAGTTCTCCCATGGAGAGTCTGTGTATGGGGCGACTTTGTAATTGCAGACAAACAAACAGACTTAGGTGTCTCTGGGTTTTTCTCCACAGTGCCTTCTGATCCCATTTCCCCCAGAGTATCAGTTTGAGTGACATGTAGGGGGAAAGCTCTTGGAGCAGCTTCCTTGAGAGGTGTTTGTAATTTTAAAAGGTTTTGACATTCATGAAGCTTTTTAGTAACTACTGAAACCATTGGGCATTAGGCCTGTTAATCCTGATCCCTGAAAATATAGTGTGCTGGTCTCAGCGGTGTTTATATTTGGGGGGTCCCTAAAAACACAGCCTTCACAGTGACTGGAACTGCGATCTGGCCTTCCTAACTGGTGTACAGACAGCAGTGGGTGAGGGCAGCTGCTAGTCAGGAGTCAGCTCTCATTCATGCGGAGTCACCTGTGACAAAAACCAGGTAGCCCCATAGGGTCCTAGTGGCTCCCAGTGTTCTGGATGGTGATATAGTTGTTTGCAGTATCTAATGAGAAGAGATTTGTAAAAGGGGTTTGCAGTCACAAAGCCAGATGGCAATGCTGATATGGTAGGTATGTCCTAGGAGGAGCCTTGCAGCTGGAGTGTGGGGGTGCCTGACTCTTATTGCGTAGTCTTCCAGGGGCCCATTGCCTGGGGAAGAGGGAAGGAATCTGAGGGTAGAGAGGGGAAACTCAGAGGCTGGTCATAAGGAAGGAAACTCAGATTAAGCCTGGGGAAAGGCATCTCTGAGGGGAAAGGGTGTGTTTGGGGTGGGGAGGACTGGTAATAGCAGATGTGAGCTTGCTGTGTCCACCTAAAAGGTCACAGCTATTCTTAGGAAGTGGTGGACAAGGCATGTTTCTATTGAACTCAGCACTAGTGCGTGCCCACTCTTTGCCTCACGCTGTGCTGTATGCACAAGAGCAGTGGCGGTCCCGACCCAACCTAGGTTGTCCCCCCTGGATTCCTTGACACGTGGGCAGCAGATGAGAACCAGGTTGTAGGGTGGAGAAGTTCATCAGTCCAGTTTTGCACATGTTGCATTTGATACACCAAGTAGGCCTGTGGATCTGGGACTCGCAAGCTTCTGGGCTGGAGAGAAAGACATTTTTGTCTAGGCCTGGAGAGATGGAGGAACAAATGAGTAAAGGGAGGCGAACCAGAAGAAGAGCAGCTGCAGATGCAGAGGAAAACCAGACTAGCGTCAGGACCACAGAAGCAGAGTGCAGCCGCCCAGTGGGAGAGCGCCAGTGTGTGGTTGCTGCTGTAGGAAGTGAGGTGGAGGAGACTCAGCACCTTAGCTGTGGCTGCTGTAGAGGGACTGTGGGAGCAGAAGCCCAATTGGGATGGAAGGATGGAGGAGTAGCAGCCATAGACAAGTTTCCACAGTGTGGGGGGTGTCACAGGGAGGCAAAAGATTGGGTGGTGTTGGTGGAGTGTGTAGAGGGAATATTTGTTTCTGTTTCCTGGACCCATCCTCCTCCCACCCCCTCCCAGACGTCCGCGGTGTGGGTGACCTGCCCCTGAGGAGCCTTCACTGTCCTCTCCTCGTCCTGTGGACACAGGCGCCTGTAAAGATTTGCTTGTTTCAAAGAGTGGGGTTTATGCTGCAGCTTGTGTCTTGATTAATTTTTCAAGCACAGTTATTCCGGGCTACTGTTACTCCAGGTCAAGAGCAGCTGTGGAATGTTCTATACTAGAGACGTACCAGAATTTATTCAACCCGATTGATTCAGTGTGGTCCTTGATTGTATTACCACTTGAAGCAATTGGAGTACACAGCCTATAGAATCCTGATTGGCATGTGATGGATATATATTTTTAAAAGATTTATTTATTTATGCATACATTGCTGGGGTACATGCCAGAGGTGCAGGGACGGTTAGAGGATTCACGGGAGACAGTGGGGAAGCAGAACTGGCAGACTGACGAAGTTCACTGCTGTGGGGAGCTCCGGGCAGGGTCAGGAGAGGTCTGCCACGCCATGTGGGTCACCTCCGGGGCCAGGGATCAAACTCATGCTGAAGTGGCTGCTATAGCTTCATAGTGTTGTGCTTTAACCCGTTGCACCACCAGAGAGGACCCTTAATACATTTTTTAATAAGGAAGAGTTGACATTTTTATAATACTCACTTTTTCAAATTGGAGAGAGATGACAGGCCTTGCAATATGTCTTTCTTAAGTTTTATGAGTGATATTCTAACAGGCTCACTGGAATTTAAAAAAATTGTGTACATTAGTTTTTGTTTCCTTGTTTTTTTTCTGTTCACTGATGACTCATTTTAACCTTTATCCTGACTCATTCCTTCTTACTTTTGACTAATTTTGATTCTCAACTTTCAAATATAAATTGGTTTTTATTTTTAGTCTTTTAATTAAAAAAGCACATCAAGCTCAACATTTTCCCTTGAGTGTAGCTCTAGCTGACGTGTGAAACACCTTTTCCTTGCATTCTAGTTACTATGTGCATCAGTTTTGATCAGAGGATTATTTAGAAAATAACGTCCTGAATTTCTCCATCATTTTGTTGGGAAGATGGTCATGTTTTATACTGACTATTATTTACTGGGCTATGACTAGTGAATGTCGATCAACAAAATCTCTTCTGTTGGGGTGAATGAATATATTCTTTGTCATCACCTAAACCATCAATATTAAGGTTACATATTCATGAAAGAAGACTACATGTCATGTAGCACACAGAATTTAAATACATCTGTTACTTGAACTGGGCCTTCATATCTTATTATGAAGATATATTATTATGAATATCTTATCATTTGCTTATTATCTGTTAAATTGTGAGAAATGAGTCAAACTATAATTTTTTAAAAGTCAACTACTCATGTCTGTTCTAGCTTTATGAATGGTGTTCGTGTTTGGTATAGACAGGTTTGTCAAGCTTACCTGTGTGGATTATATGGTGTGTCATTTGTCGCCCACTTAATGCTCTTGGTTTTTTAACTCATTTTCCATTTTACCTGTGGTTTAAGAAAATGTGTAACGAAGGGCCTGAGAGACTCCCTTATTTACAGTCCTAAAACAATAAATCCTTAACAATTGTCACACTTGCCACCTTGCTTCTCAGCTTCCCCATTTTTGTGAACTCTCCCTTCTTGACTGTTCCAGTGTACTTCATGGTAACCAGGTTTTTAGGAAGAAAGGATAAAATGAGATTTGCGCACAAACCCAGTAAGGCCTGGGTAACTTCTTCCTGTTTGGGGTTTGTAGCTCTTTCTTTTAGTCCCCATTGATAGACAGCTCTAACAATTACATGTTTCCTTCCTCATTTGCTACAGCAAGATGGGCTTTCTTTTTCCTCAAAGGGTGTGATGGAATAGTCTACAAAACTGTCCTAAGATCAAGTGTTGGATAAAAACACTTGGATCTCCATGTCTTCTGCTATTTTTTCATGCTTATCTTTTAAGTCAGATAATGCTCTATCAAAGGACTGGAATGGCTCACACACCTTGTTGTATCATGAAGCCCTAGTGAGTAGCTTCCAGTCTTCTGTTTGTAGATCAAAGCAAATGGCCAAAAAATGGATGTAGTTGCTGCTTATTAAAAAGTCCTCAATATATTTTTAATCTTAATGTTTAAACTGCTAGTTATTCTTTGTGTTTACCTAGTATATCTTTGTGCAACCCTTAATTTTTAACCTTTCCTTCTCGCTTAAAAAAGAAGTTTCTTGTGTACTTAAGTGTGTTTCTGGGGTGATGGTGGTCAGGAGGTTGGGGGTGGTGACAGGAAGCAGTGATAATAGTAATAAACCAAACGTGGTGGTTTCTGCTCTTGCAGAGAAGTTCAGGTTCTTCACATACCAGGTAGTCTTGGTTTTATTCTCTATGTCTTATTTTTTATTTATTCGTTACACTTGGATGTTATTTCTTTCCAGACCTCTGCTCTGTTGGTTAAGTTTCTCATCATTCCTCCTCTTCCCCATCCCACCTGCACAAGAAGGAGTTCATCTCTCACAAATTGGACATCAAAGTTGTTAAGTGTTGTCCAGGCCCATGGCTCCGGTGTGAAGTTGCCCCCAGAATTCTTACAGCTCTGGTTTTAAACTTGAGCACATTCATGTGTAACCTGGAAGGTCTGTGCAGCACAGATTCCTAGACTCTGATGGAGCGTTCTGATGAAGGTAGTGGTACCTGAGAATTTCTAACAGGTATCCGCTTGTACTGATGCTGCCAGCTGGGAACCACACTGTGGGTAGTAGCACTGCCTTAGATGCTTCTCCTTCCTGCATGGCCTAACATAGGTGACTTTCCCATCTACATGAGAGGACCCCCAAGAACCTACTGTTCGACAACCTCATATACAGGTGCATTTACTGACGCACACTGTGCTGACATTGATTTCATGTAATATTAAGAATCTAACTGCCAGGGAGGCTCCAAAACATAATCTGGGGATTGCCATGTGCTGGGTTACAGTTAATGTTCTGTTATAAGCAGATGGTGAGGTGGGGGGGGGGGAGACAATAGGAAGTTTCTGGAACACCACGTACTGGTGTCCTTAATTTGAAAGTACTATGTTCGTCAGTCTTGCACTAACTGTATTCCTCATGTTAGAAAGAGGCAGTGGCATCTCCCAACAGGGCCAGCCAGCAGACGGTACAAGTGCGTGGTGAGTTGCTACTGTTTTGCTGAGGCTTCAGAGGGTTCAGGGCTTCAGGACCATTCCCAGCCCTCAGGTCTGGCGAGTAAAATTCTGCTGCTTGGACCCCCCAGCCCTGTGGGATGGGGGTGGCCCCTCCCAGCACCCAGCCTTACATGGAGAGTATCTTGACGTGCTTACTCCTCTCAACTTGCCTTCTCCAACTCCCGGGGGATTACACATAGATTACTATTCCTAGGAGAGATTGGAGCAGAGACCATTTGACCCCCACACTGAGCCAGGCTCAGTGCTCCAGATACCCCAGAGGTATCAGAACAAGTGGCTTCCAACCCCTGTACTCTGCTGTTGTCAGCTCATAGGGAGGGAAACCTGGAGAGAAGGAGTCACAGAGGCTACCCTGGAGCAGATGACACTTGCGTGTGGCTTCACATGCAAAAATTACTGGAAGGCAACAGAGTCATATTCCCATTTGCTTTCCCAGGTCAACCTTTACATTTTCTAAGTTCATTCTCCAATCCAGGAAGATGAAAGGGAGCCAGGAGTTTGCTGAGTGACGGTGGGTGGGCAGCCTAGGCCATAAGGCACCAGCATAGAAACGAAGGACCATTATTCTGGTCCTCATCGTGCCCCCTGGCAGCCCTAAGGCTTCATGCAGAACCTTCCACTCTCCGGGCCTCGGCTCTCACCTAAGTAAATTAAACTGGTGAACCAAATGATCTCATAAAGGCCCCTTCCAGCTTCAATGTATATGGCATTCCTGTGTGATCCAAATGTCAGTGCACTGGGAGTTGACTTTTTCTTGTAAGAGGGGTCTTTCAGAATCTGCTTGCTCAAGTTCAGCCTTCTGCTGAGGTATAACTGCCCTACGGCTGCTCTCCTGGCCTGTTTTGCCCAGAACTTCTCTAGGCCAGGCAGTTCCAGGTGCCAGTTTTCAGAGGTGGGGTCAGATGGCTGTCTGGCTAATAATCCAGTAGGTTCCAGCTACTCTTAATTCATCATGAGCGGGTGGGAGTTCAGTGTTTAACAGCACCTTGCATAGGCTCTTTGTTTAGTGACTGAGAAAGTCTGGCCAGGCTTTGCTTGGTGGAGAGCTGCCCTGGGCTCCCTGCCTTGCTTCTGTCGCTGAAACGCACCTGTGACCCACAGCCCAGAGGTGAGGGAGTGCCCCATGAGGCAGGACCTGGGCACTACTGCCCTGCAGAGGGTAAGGCCATCTGTGTCCTTCCCAGCAGAGGCAGAAATGTTCACCTGCCCTCTCACATCACTTGAAGATCTGCCTTAGTGTGGCAGGAAGAGAGGCAAAGTCCTAGAGATCTCCTCTCTGCCCCCAGAATTCCTGGTGCCTACATCAGAGGAATAGGTGCCACCCAGGGTGTGGAGAGAATCAAGGTCCACTGGTGTCCTGTTGCAACTTGTGAGGAACCTGGCTGTGCCCAGCCTGGTGCTCGCCAGCGGTGGGAAGTCTCTCCTACCCTGGGCAGCATCGGAAAGCATAATCCTGGCTCTGGCACCAGTTGCTTGTGTACCCCTGGCTTGTTAAGAATCATCGCTGAGCCTTGGTTCCCTTGAAGTGATAATACCCATCTTGTAGGAGCATCGTGAAGGTTGTTGGGGTGATAGGTGGTAAGGTAGAAGGTAGTATATATACCTACCCTAAGTACAGGAGAAAGGGGCGGGGGGATTTTAGAGCACAAGAGGACATAGAAAACATTTTGAGATAAGTGCATATTAAGTTCTGGAATCAGAACTTATCCCTGAGAGTAGGGAGGTCAGGGAGTACTTCCTGAAAGAGGCAGGGCCCCGTCTGGCCTGAAAGAGGACAGGGGTTGACCTAGGCTTCAGGAAGGCACAGAGGCCACAGGAGGACAGGTCAGGCACAGGTCTGCCATTGAGCAGACATTCTGAAGATGTAAAGTGCTGGGGTAATGGCTTGGCTGAGCACGCACACACATTTCCTGCAGTTCTTCCCATCACATGTAGGTCCTGGGAGGCTTCCGTGCATGGCACAATGCCCTTCCACTCAGGGCCCTCTGCAGAGCTCAGGATCCCTCCTACATAGAGGTCAGCCCATACCCAAGATCGCAAGAGTCTTCTGCATGGTCACTTGTAGGCTCTGATTGGGATTTCTTTTCAGCTTCTGGCTGTACGAGTCTGGCTGAGCACATTGTCGCTGCTGAAGAGCAGCTCCTGATAAGCGCTATTGGAAGGAGACTCGTGCTGGGACTTCTCCGCGGAAGGGCTGCCTCAGACTTTCAGAGCTAGAAGGTACTTGCTTAGGTCTTCTAGGTTTGCAGGGTCTGGGCCTTTCCAGGCCATTTGAACAGGCATCCAGGCCATTTGATGGGGTGGTGCGCCCATCAGGGCCTCATCCTGCCTTTCGATCTACTGCTCGTTATCCCCCAGTTTACTGTAAGAGTGGACAAAAGCCGGGCTTCCCTATGGAACAGAGATGCTCACTGCATTTTGATTGGTGGGTCCTGGGTGAGCACCTCTTCCTTTGGGTGCAAGTACAGGTGCCTACAGAGACATCCCAGCCAGGGACAGTGGGAGCAGGGACGGGCACACCAGCTGAAGGGGGCCGCCACCACCACCCTCATTGCAGCCACCCTGTGGAAATTTGGGACCCTTAAGTCAGGCTGAGTGTTTAAGTCTGGCTGAGGCATTTGCAACTCCTTGCCTCCCCATAATTAAATAAATGTTTGTGATCTACAAAACCTTCACATAGACCCAGATTCTGGGCATCACAAGCTGAACACACTGATCCCTGGCATGCTCATGCATTTAATAGATGAGGGAGAGAGATGTTCAGGAGGGCCTTGGGTTCCCTAGCCCGGCCCTGGCTCCTCTCTGAGCCCAGAGAGGGACTTACTATGGAGCTATTGAAACTGAAGTTTCCGCTTCAGGCTGACTCTCGTGACATCACAGGATTGTTGACCTTCCCGTGTGCTGGGTGGAATCTTACAGTGAATTTACAGGCATGGGCTGTTTGCCAAAACAGGTTTGCCAAACACTTGACATTGTATATTCATCCTCTGAAAGAGGGCCTCCCTAAAATTATTTAAGCTCCAGGTCCCATAAAACCTGCTCCCTCAACTACTGCTGGTAAAGACCCAGTCGACTGCGAACCTGCCTCTCGGACAGCTAGCTCTTGGTGTGGGGGTGCAGGGCCAGCCTCGCAGGACCTTGTTGCGTCACCTTGGCATGTCACTTCCTCCTTTCTGGTTGTCATTTTTGCTGCTTGTGAAATAGTGGAGGTGTGGTGGATGAAGTGAACTGAGTCTTCTTTATGGCTGAATGACTTCTGGGGCCAGCTATTTGGTCTTGACCCACTGAGTGTGATTGTCCTCCGGTGTAGCTCACACTGCAACCTTTTTCCTCCCTAGAGCATTTGCATTGTTGGCTGGGTGTGTCTGGCCTGGCCACACAGAAGACACTCAGAAGCCCGGCCTCACCATGGAGACTCCTGTTGACTGATAATACAAAGGAGTAGGGCTTGATTAAGCTCGTTCCCCACCTATAGGAGGGGCAAACACCTGTTCCTTCCTCATCTGTGTGTTTTCTTCTTGTTTTATAGTTTCCCTTGTCAAAGAAAGCTGGGGGCTAGGTAGACTCAAAGAGCAGAGTCCTTTTCAAAGAGAACAGCAGGGAAGGATATGAAGGAAGGAGACACACCCTGGTCACCGTATGTGTACATTTCCTACTGCTGCTGAAAACAAGGTGGCTCAATTCTACACATCTTAATTTAGGTGTGCAGTTCAGGGGCATTGAGTACATTCACATTGTGGTGAACCATCACCGCCTCCAACTCCGAAACTTTTTCCTTTTCCCCAACCCCTAATGGACACTTAACTTGCCAGCCCCCTCCCCCTGAGCCCCAGGTATCCACAGTTCTACTTTCTGTCTCTATGAATTTGACTCTCTTGAGTACAGGTGTGCCTAGGAGTTAGAGCAGGGCTGGTTCTAGACCTCTAAAATGAAGCGGATATCATCATAAAGTGAGGGACATGAAGTTAATAGCTTCCCAGTGCAGTGAGGTTGGTTGTTTTGAAAGTTCAGAGAGGTTGAGTTTCTGGAGGCAGGTCACACAGTAAGTCAGTGGTGGAATTACACCCCAAACCCTCTCAGCTGTACAGGCTGATGCAATGAACTAAACACCTACTGTGTGCTAATAAATTGTAGAGTGGTTAGCTTGATGTGTGTAGTGGTGCATCGATTCCTCACAGCCACATACGGGATGGATAGACATTTCTCCCAATATTATTATAGGTAGGGGAGAGGCTCAGAGAGGTCAACAGTATGCTTGAGGTCACACAGCCAGCAATTGGTTGAGCTAGAATTGGACTTATTGTCATCGGAGTCCAAACCCTATGTGCCGCCCCAGTACACGCTAGCCGTGTTCGGAGATGATAACAGCCACAGTGTGGGCTGTGGGTGAAGTCATACAGTCGAGCTAAGGATTCCCGTGACTGTCCTGTGATGTTTGTGACTCTCAGTGGGGAGTGTGGACCGTGTGGAGACGGGGAACTGACCTAGCGGGGGTGGCAGAGAATCTGCTTGTAAGTGCCAGTGATGCGCAGGCTAGTGACCAGGGAGGGGCCGGACAGCTTCCCCTTCCTTCTCCCAGAAAAGGAAGGGGGTTCAGAGAAGGAGCTTCCCAAGTTCCCTTCCATCTGAGCCACTGAGGGCTGGTGTTGTATAGAGAGGAAGTGTTGCAGGACTTGCGGTGTGGTGTGCCCCATTGGGCTAAGGTGATCCTGGGGACATGTTGCTCAAGTTGGACTTTGTAGGAAATTGAAGGGCTTGAGAGCAAAAGGGGGGCTGAGCAGGACACCCCTGGCACTTGGCCCTAGTCCCTTCTACTTTGTCTCAGACCGATGCTGGGAGGAACCCCTTCTGGTCAGGTGGTGTGATTGTGCGGAAGTGGTGAAACAGACACAGACCCGGCTTCCCAGCCTGAACTGCACTTAGAAAACCCAGTTTCACTTTTGGGGAATGTGTGTGTGTTTCCTTCAGTCTTTGCCACACTTTGGAGTTAGGACATGAGTGGGGTTCTTTTCCTGTAGCTCCCTGTGCACCTGTTAGAGGAACCTCCATGTCTCCAAGGACAGCCCCAGAGCCCTCACATTTTAGGTCAGTGAGTGATGCCCTCTAGCGACACCATGCCTCCCTCACCGTCCCCTGGCTCACTGTACACTCCTCTGAAATGCCAAGTGACTACGTATGGACTACTGTTCCGGATGCCTGCTTGGTGTGGGCAGGTGTTGGAGGGGAAGGCGCCCGTGGGGAGGAATGACTTGGTTGCAGGGCTGTGCTGTGGTGGGGTTTGGCGGAGAGACTGGGAGCTGTGTGTGTGCTCACACTTGCCATGAGGTGAACGTGAGTCCCTCCCGCCTAGTTTTTTCTCCTGCTCACTTCCGAGGGCCAGGTCTGGAAAGGCAGGTGAGAGAAAGAAGAGGCTTCCTTCCAGGAGGGGACCCAGAGTGGACGCACTCACCGCAGACTCGGGTGCCTGCAACCCTTTGGGGTGCCTTTCCCAGCAGCTGTCCCCTCTAGGAGTCTTTTCAAAGCCACTCCTCCCCCCATCCCACCCCTTCCTTCCACATACAATTCTGGAGCTTGGACCAGCCCCCCAGGACCCAGGTATGCGGAGGGCTGCAGGCTGGGGAGAAAGAAGACATTACCAAATTCCTGTTGGAGGTTTCTATTTCTAGAGTTTGGAAAATCCCACACAGCCATTCCCAGACGCTGCTGCTTCAGGGCTGGTACTGGTGTAGGTGAAGGATCAGGCAGGCTTCATTCCACCACTCTGTCCACCCTCTGCCTTCTCTCTGTCCTGACTCTCTCCACCTCTCAGGTTATTCTTTCTTCTCCCCACATTTCTCATCCTGGGTATTATCAAAGGACCCAGTCCTCTAGGACCCGCTAATCCTGTTTGCTATTTTACATTGGGGAATCTGATGTAATGAGAAGTTAGATGATGTAAGGAGAACATATTTGATATTAAACTATTACTCTCTGCATCTTACAGATGGGGAAATGGAGGCCCAGAAAGGTCAAATAGGCCCAAGGTCATAGGCTTAGTAGACCTGGGGGCTCTAGCTTCAGTTCTCGTTCTCCTGCCATTCTGCACCACCTTGTCGAGTGCCCGTGGTGAGGCCTGATGCCCTGACTCCTGGCCTGTGCTTCCCCCCCACTGCTGTTTTTAGAGCTTCAGTCTTGAACTCTCAATAGTTTCTGGAACCAGTGGGCTCTGTGAGAAAGCATAGCAAAGGGGTGAAGCACCTGGTCTTGGAACCCTGACAGCCTGGGGGTGAATCCTGTATAACCACTTACAGGCTGAGGTGTTGGGCAGGTAGCATATCTCCACACCTCAGTTTTCCTAGGGGCTCGGCTCGTAACTTTAGTACTTGTTCATGGAGTCATTGTAAAGTTCAATTCCATGTACAGCACTTAACACAGTGCCTAGCATGTGATAAGTATTCAGTACATGTTAACTGCTATTATTAGGGCCTAGCAAATGTGGGAAAGGGGGAGACAGAGTTAAGCAGGCTCCTTTGTTCCAAACTTCTCAGTCTTTGGGACTCAGTACCACTATGAATTGGCACTTATCTGGAAGGGGATATAGGAGACAGCATTTTCCAGTTTTTGGACAACCGATTTCGGTCCTTTGCTCCCTTTTATAATTGGGTCCCTGGTAATTGCAAGATGTGAAGTTGGCGTGAGAATATCATGCTGCCTGTTTCTGCAGACAAGGCTGAGCTGCTGGGCCCAGTTAGACTTGAGCGAGACTTTAGTTTCCTCAGGCTTTGAGGATGGTGACTTCTGGAGGCAGTAGGTGGTTAACACGCAGAAGGGAGCAGGTTCAAAATGGAAAAGAATCCACCTACAGCCCACAGAACGCGTTTGGACGGTGCGTGCCCTTGGCATTAGAGTTGGCTCTCACATGCCAGGTGGGTCTTACTCTACAGAAAACCTATAGACAGAGCTGCCCACTGCAAGTGCCAAAAGCCTTGGGCTACATGTGTTCACTGTGCCATTCCTTGCCCATGTATTTCCTTTTTGATGTGATCATACAATATTCTGTAGGGTCATAGCAACAATCTGAGGAAGAGGCTGCAAAAGAAAAATTGAGGATGAGGAAATTAAATGACTTGGCCAAGTCATTCAGCTGCTAATTATCAAAGCAGAGGCCACATGCTGGGCCTCCCTCAAGCAGTCTATGTGGGGTTTGCATTAAGCCAGGGAACGGGGGTGGCCCATATGTC